TGTGGCTGATGGCACCGCTGTTGGGACCTATATGATGGGATGATGGGCTGGCAGGTCGCTGCTGTTTCACCAGGTGGAAGGCCGATTGTGTTTGCCAGGAGTTCTCTCTGCTGTTATAGGTATTTGTCCTGTTGAGCGATCTGCTCGCGGCAGATGTGGTGCAACATTTTTTCCTGACCTGATCTTCGATCCCAGTTCCCTACAGCAAGATGTGATGACGTGTAACCCTGTCGTATTTGCCCATGACCTTTGAGTTTAGGTAGACCTTTCGTGTTTTAACGTTATGTGATCGTGTAGCGTTCCTCGGGAATACACATCTCACCCCGAATGGAAAGACTCACGCTCATGTGGGACGCGACAGATAAGAAACTGCGCCGTCCAGATTCAGATGTCTCACAACAGACAAGCGGCGATGTCGTAATGGGCCCAATTTTGTACCACCACCATAAACTCTCACTTTTTGAATGCCTCTGTGTTCACCAGAGGACCACGCCTTTGATGAAAACACTTGGGGGGACCATCGTTGGCGTACCTGCGCGTCCGGTGTGGTATGCTGATGCCCCATGCCAGGCGTCATGTACCCCCCCCCCCCGTCTGATGTCGCGTACTCCCGTGTCGGCTGTGGTGTACCTGTACTCCGCGGCGAGTGTCCTGCGGCCCCGCGCGGAGCGCTCCCGCGGTCCGCTGACGCTCGCCGGTCTCTCCCGCAGGCTGTGCATCCAGTACATCATGCCGTCGGCGCACCTCTACCTCCGCGAGGAGGAGGTGGTGAAGCTGATGCTAGAGTTCCTGCACAACCGGCAGCTGCACATCTCGCAGCTGAGCGTGGAGCGCGAGGCCGGCATCATCAACGCCCAGCCTCAAGTGATGACCCTGCTCTTCCTGCGGCAGCTGATTCTAGACGGCCAGTGGAGAGGACGCGCTGGAGTTCGTGCAGCCGCTCACCAGCATCGAGAGCTTCAACTCGAAGCGCTTCCACTACGAGGTGCTCAAGGTCAAGTACGTGGAGCTGCTGTGCATCAAGAGCGAGGCCGGCGCGCAGGACAACATGGACCAGGCCGTCGAGGAGGTGGTGAAGGGTGCTGAACGAGCTGGAGAAGTTCTGCGACAGCAAGGAGGAGTACTCGGCGCTGTGCCTGCTGCTGACGCTGGCCGCGGCTCGGCGACCACAGCGAGTACCGCGACTGGAACCCGAGCGCGGCGCGCGTGGCCTGCTTCCGCACGGTGCTGCCGCTGGTGGAGAAGTTCCTGCCGAGCGAGCGCAAGCGCGGCGGCGAGCGTCAGGACGAGTGCGCCAGCAGCGACCGCCTCATCCAGCTGCTCATCAAGGGCATCCTGTACGAGAGCTGCGTCGAGTACTGCCAGCAGAAGGCCACGTCGGCTGGCGCCGACGCCGGCGGCGGCGAGATGCAGTTCAGCAAGGTGCTCAGCGGCAGCGGCTTCAGCGACTCGGACCTCAGCCCTGCTCTCCTGGCTGCAGAGCATCCCCGGCCGACACGTTCGCCTGTCCGTTCGAGCAGCGCACGCTGAACGTGGACGTGGAGCGGCTGGAGCGGCCGCAGCTGGACGCGTTCTGGACCGAGTACATGCTGGTGACGCCCATCAAGCCGAAGACGTTCCCGCACTCGGTGATGCCGCACTCGCGGCCCAAGTCCGCGGACGTGATTGTCGCGCTCGCTGAACCCGCAGCTGGAGGGCCTGCCGCTCGGGCTCGGACCGCAGCGCGCGGCGGCGGCGGCGGCGGCCGCTTGCCGCCGCCGACCCGATGTCCCAGAGCCTCGCCAGCTTCCACCTGACCGGCCGCAAGACGATGAACACGTCCGTGGACCGGCTGTTCGACAGCGAGGCGGCGTCGGCCGCCGCCGGCGAGCTCACCACCATCTCCGAGCGCCACGAGCCGCAGAGCGCGCCTCCGCCGGCACCGCCGCCACCGCCGCCCCCGCCGCCGAAGGTGTCTTCTGCGACGACGGCCTCCTCTGGCAGCGACCAGTCGAGCTCGCTGGGCTCGACGCGGCGGCCGGCGCCCCCCACGCCCTCTGACAGCGAGCGCGAGCGCGGCTCGCGCCTCGACAGTGACGCGTCCGAGTCGCCGCAGTCGAGCCGGCGCGGCCGCGCACCACAGCCCGCCCCCGCCCCCGCCCTCGCCCCCCGCCGTCCCCGCCGCCACCCCCGGTGCCGCCCGCCCCAGCGCCGGCCGGCGGCGGGCCGCGGCGACGGCGGAGCTGTTCCAGGAGTACCGGCGCAGCCGGCACCGGTTCCAGGAGCAAATGTCTGAGTACGACCAGCGGCGAGCCCAGTATCTGCAACAGCTGTCGGCCCGACAACAGGCCTCAGCGAGGACGGCTACCGGCAGGCAGCTCAGAGCCCGTGAGTGATGGTCTCAGTCGTAAATTGTTTTTTCGATGCATGCTGATGACGTTGCATGCACTGACATGATGATCAGTGGTATCATGATCGTGTTACATCCTCTCAGGCCGGCTGGCTCAATGCACCGATGCAATGTTGATGCCATAATTGTGAGGCGAACTCGGGCCCCGCGGTCCTCTGTGATTGCCGCCACCTGGTCGGGAAGTGGAGGGGATATTAGCCGATGTCGAGCGCGATATGGCAGCACGTCTTTGGCACACGGCTGCTCGTATTGTATGCTCAGTAAAGTACGGACGCGGTCTGAAGTACTGCAGTGCAAGTTCCGCCCAGAGGAAGGAACTCCAGCCTTCAATGCAGGAATAAGTTACGCTTCCCCTCAGATGTCATGTAGCCAGTCTGCTTTTTCTCCTATGATAAGCAAGGTGCAAGTCTGTTGCGGCGTGGTAGAAATATCATGTCACCGACACCCACACATAGGTGATCGCCTTACCACACCCCTGTTCCAATGAGTGCGTGCGTGCGGCAGCTAACGGCACCTAGCCTCTCTCCCCCTGAACCGGCCGAGCCGTCCGTACCATAAGCTTCGACGGGGGATTATGCGCTGGACGAGAAAGTCGCGGGCACGGGTTACGTGTTGAAATTTCTGTTTTGGGACGGGCGCGGATATTGTAGCTTACGGGTGGCGTGCCAAACTCAGCTTCCTCCGCTCAAACGCATTGTCAATTCAACTCACGGATAGAAGGTTGCAGTCGGGCAGTATCCAGAGCGTTTCAGCCCCAACAATGCCGGCGTTGTCTTGTGGAGGTTTTGCTTAGGGTGACAAGCCCCGAATATCGTCGGCGAAAGAGGATTGTTGGCCCGGGAGAGGATTATTGGCGCCTTTTCGGTGTGACGTCCTCCTAGCACGCGATCGTTACTTCGAAGCTAAGGACTGACCTAGACCCGGCGGTGATGAAACGATGCGTCCCGGGGCCTGCGTGACGACTGGAGCGCGCGCGAATGACGTTAGCCCGGCTCAGTGGGGTCTAACTGCAGGGATAGGTTTTCATGTCTTGCGGGTTTCCTTTTCATTTCCCCTTCATTCATTCTTCATTTCATTCATTTCCCGTGGGCGCCTGGGCCATTTCGACAGCCAGACGAAAGAGAATTGACTTGACTGTGAGGTCACTGCTGGTCTGAAGTCTACCATCGGAGAGTGGGACGATAGTCACTCATCCGAGGAGTGGAACGACAGTCACTCATCCGAGGAGTGGGACGACAGTCACTCATCCTAGGAGTCGAACGACAGTCACTCATCTGAGGAGTGGGACGACAGTCACTCATCCGAGGAGTGGGACGACAGTCACTCATCCTAGGAGTGGAACGACAGTCACTCATCCTAGGAGTGGGACGACAGTCAGCCATCCGAGGAGTGGGGCGACAGTCACTCATCCTGGGAGTGGGACGACAGTCACTCATCCGAGGAGTGGAACGACAGTCACTCATCTGAGGATTGGAGCAACAGTCATTTGTCCGAGGAGAGGGACGACAGTCACTGGCCATCGTCCGAACTAAATAACAGCTGAAGCTTTGGGACGGACAGCTTTCACCGTTG